CTGAAATATCCTCCTTATTTTTCTTTTAAAACAGCAAATTTAAATCCATGTCAATAGCAGGTAAAAGAGATGGATGAGGCGATGATCTAATAACTGTTTTACTGAAGTTTATTTGAGATAATTCAAGATATTTTATGGTAATATCTTCTGTCCATCAAATGGTTCGGAGCGTTGACCAAATAACTGTAAGAGTTGTTTGATTTTCTTGATTGTATTTTTATTTTTTTTTTCCATTTAACCGGATGTAGTATTTGGAACGAATGCTTTCTAGCAGAGACGGATCCGAGCACGCGCAGAGATGAAACTGATCGCGAGAACAGTGTGCTGAGACGAGTTTTTCCAGAGTTGAGCGCGCGCCAGACCGGTTTTGTGCGCGCGTGTTGTCTCACTGCGCGCTCGGATTGGTTCCTGCGCGCTCAAACCGATGGCACAAATATCTCTCCATAGAAATCCCCCACAGGCCGCAGCAGAGAGCCTTCAGCGGGGATTTCCAGCGCCGCCTCCCGGCGGTATGCTGGAGGTCTGCAGCTCCCAACAAGAACTGCACATTTTAGTGGGATTATAATCCTGATGAACTGATGAACAGAAGATGTTTGGAGGTGAACTTTCTCGCTTAAAAACATGTTAAAACTATTTTTCAACTCATAAATTAAATAAAGCTGCGCCGCTCTCTAGCTTGAAGCAGAACAGAGCAGATAAACATCCAGAGCGTCGAATCCTCAAAGCAACTGGACCAGTTTGATCCAGATTTAAGTATTTATGCATTTTTGACACTTAAAGCGTTTTTATTGTGAACGCAGCTTTAATCCTGTTTTATCTCCATGTATTACAGCGAGTTGGACCTTCACTCAGTGATCTCTCGTTTTCCTCTTGCAGTTGTTGCCATGTTGGGCATGTTGTCTCCATCCAGCAGAGGAGCCCTGATGACCACTTCCTGTTTCCTCTTCATGTTTATGGGGTAGGAGCCTCAGCAGCAGCTTTAAACCCTCACAGAATCCCAGGAAGAGTCGCTCTGACTGTTGATGCTTTTCCTTTAGTGTATTTGGGGGTTATTTTGCTGGCAGACTCTACCGCACTCTGAAGGGCCATCGCTGGAGGAAAGGAGCTTTTTGTGTGAGTCCTTCCCTGGTTCATTCACTGCATTATTATGAAGCATAAGCTAACGGAGCGTAGCATCAGGTGATGACAGTAACATCTAAAGAAACCTTTTAGTCCAGAAATATTGACTTCATCGAAACTTGTAAAACACAAACCTCATCTGAAACCGTATTTTATTATATTCCTCCGTCTAATGCTGGCCTGCAACTAACTATTACTTTGCGAATCAACTAATCAGTCCATTTTTTTCTATTAACCCTCTCAAATTAAGTTGTAGTTGCAGGAAAAATCTGATTTTTGGAGAAAATGATCATATGGGCCAGTAATATACAATTCAGACTTTTTTTTTTGAGAGAGACCTTCACATGCAATGAATTCTGGGATGTTGCAGATTTACAACAGAGGCCCGGAGTGGTAAATTAACACTGAAGACTGAATCTGATATGAACGTTTACTTTATTTGAACGTCACAAACAAAAAATTAATAAAACAAAATAAAAAATAAAAAAAAAATTCTCTTTTTCTCAAACTTTTTCTCAGCCGACATCTCAAAACCTCTTGAAAAGGCCTTTTCTGTTAAACAAAATATAGGCAAACTAGTAGATAAAGCATGTAGCACCCATTGCTACCTGTTTGGGCACACGTTGCAAATCCGCAACATTGAAATTGAGATGCCTCTGGTGAAAAACCCAGAGGAGATATAATCTACTAATTGGCATGTGTCATATCTATACACATTCATGATTCATCTTATGTAGTATGGATTTCAAAATAATGGAAATTGGTAGTGATACTTACGTGAAATTGATGCTTAGAAAATCAGTTTCAGTGACACCAAGGACTCAGCCATGTTGAAAGTGAGTCAGCAGCGCCATCTGTTGAGCTGGAGAGAAACTGTTTGTTGCAAATGCACAACTAAGTCCTTCTGTTGTACTTCTGAGTAACAAAAGCTCTTAAAATACGGATGTGGAGTACTTAGCTAAGTGGCATTTAGATGTTGCAAATCTGCAACATCTGCCTGGAGAGGGTTAATCCATTAATAATCAGAAAGCCAAAGGTTCCTCAAAGAAGATTTTTTTTATTCAATTAAATCAGGTGAAACTAAAACTTTTCCCCTTGAGAATTTTTGGATACGTCAGATTGACAGAAGAAAAACATGTTTATCTTAAATGCAAAATGATTAAATATTATTTTACAATCCTGGTATAATTCCTGCTCTAAGTGCAGGTTTTACAGTATCTATACTCCAGCTAACGACCGATTACTAAATTAGTTAATGATTATATCAGTAATGGATTAATCCGATAGTTTCAGCTGTAATATAATCCATATCTAACAGTGACTGAAACACAGATTAGTCATCTTGTCACCAAGCTGTTTTACTGAAGGTAAAAGGGAGGAAAGTGGGAATGAAGTCTGTTTTATGTGTTTTTCTTCCAGACGGCGACTTTATATCCTGGGGTGGTGTTTGCAATCTGCTTCGTCCTGAACTGCTTCATCTGGGGGGAGCACTCCTCTGGAGCGGTGAGTTCAGATCTTAGTGTACGACCAGGAAGGATTCCTGTCTGAAGGTTCATGAATCAAAAACTGTCATCGGTGCAGAACGGGTCAGCTCAGGTTTGATTCAAGTCCAGCTTATATGTCGGGGTTCTGATCCAAGTCTTGTGACATGCAGTTAAAGACCAAACATTCACTCTTATTAGTGAACGTCCTGGTGAACATCCTCAGTCTTACAGGTGATATTAATCCCAAAAAGCTTAAAAATCAATCCACTGGACTTTGTTTCCAAGTTTGAAGACGTTTCTCTTCCATCCAGGAAGCTTTTTAATTCAAAATGTCAGAAATAGCGTAGAGGTTTATAGAGCGGACCAAACAAAAGCCTTATTATGGCTAAAAAACATGCAGATTGAAAAACATGGAGGAGGCGGAGATTCATGTTGGAGACATTTACCCCATTTACTCTACCCTTGAAAAACCGATCCATGCCGAGACCGGTCCGA